ATTCGCTGAGAACTATCTGAAATCCTTTGTACCAACCAAGGCCTTTTCTGAAGGTTGAGTTCAGGTCAGACAATGAAAAGGATGATGAAATTGTGATGTTGTGGTGTTGGAGGAGAGGACTGGCTGCCAAAATAATAAACAAATCAATCTTGGCAGAAGCCCAACCCAGGTGTTCCTTAAAGGCCCGGATGGTGAAACTTCACCTCACATTCTCTGGGTATGTTTTCAGAAGGGGCTGGTCCTTTGAAAAAGACATCATGCTGAGAAAGGTCATTGAAAGAGAAGGCCCTTCAGGAGAGACTGACATAGTGACCCCAATAATGGACTGAGCAGTCTGTGAAGATGATGGAGGATGCGGGGGAAGCTTAGATCCACTGTTTACAAGATTGCCTGGGGTCATAGTTGACTGGGTGGCACCCCTTCCTCACTGTTGGAACTGACTCACAGTCACCCTCTGGTAGGTTTTCAAAGATTATAAATTGCATGAGAGGAGACTGCCCATCTTTCTCCTGAGGAGCTGCTGGTGGATGTGAACTGCTTGCTTTCTGGGTTGGCAGGACCTGACCTTCTGAGCCACCAGAGCTTCCTGGACAGCACCTAATGTCTATTTATTCAGCAAATGCACTTCATGTGTACCACATGTCAGGTACTGTTCTAAGTGCTTTAAAGCTACTAATTTAATCTTTCTTAAAATCCTATAGCATAAAACTCTTATTACTCCCATTTTACTGATGTGGAACCTGAGGCACACAGATTTTTAAATTAGTGAAAGAGAAATGAGTTGTACAGAGATTGAGGCTCAAGGTCTACCCTCTAGGACCGGGCTAAAGAGACACTTCATAGCACCAGGTGAGGTAAAAAGAAATCCAGAGAAGGTCAGACTCCAGAAACCAAGTGAGCGAGTGTTTCCAAAAGGGAGGGAGTCTATGATGCTGACCGAGCAGGTGGACTGAGAAGTCAGAATGACCACTGAATGGGACAGAAGATACGGTTTTGTTTTCATTAATCTTGTTTTGAAGTTAACTTCCTCTAATTTTGGATGTAGACAACAAATCACAGTATTTCCAGTGTACAGTGCTGCTACCCACAGAAATGACAGACACTTTCATTCCATTTGCAGTGGCTGCAGACATAGCACCACTATAGTTCCAGTTCATTTGTACTTTGAGATTAGTTCCCAGCCCACTGCTAGATCTCACTATTTGGCATGTTACTACTAAAGCAGTACTTATGCTATGAAATCACACATTTTAATACGTTGATCACTATAATTCAGTACAATTATTTCTTCTATGGTAGTCAATAGATTTCGGTTTTGCATTTAAAACAATTGACAGGGGTACAAGAAGTTAAAGGGCTCAAAGTCATCTCAACTCTGACCATAATGAGTAACCAACTATCAAGACAGGTAGAGAGCTGTTCCTAACCCCAGGGCTCGGTTTGACACTTAACCTAGTTCTCTTAATCTAGCCTGTAGATATTCTAAAGTGATTATGAGGGGGGTCGAGGAAGGCCACATTCTACTTTCCAGCTTAAAACCAGAGTCCTTACCATTTGCAAAAGCTACTGCTTGCCTGCATTTTGAGCTGAGAGGTTTGAAAAGAAGCCTCAGGCTCCTCTCTGAGCTTTCAAATTGCACAAGCAGCTATTTAAGGAAGTTTCTTCCACATCCACACAAGACCTTATGATTTGAAAGGACACAGGTGGCTCAATACTTAGGGTTTCCCCCTCTCCCCAGTACCACAGGGTGGGCTTCATGAGCACAGCAGTGTCCTCTATTGGTCACTGCCAGGTCTTCTAGGCTCCAATGGTATTTGGCATATCACATTCACTCCATAAGATCAAGTGGATGCATGAAAGATGCCAAGATTCTGCAGAAGTAGAACAGCTGGAGCTTCCTGAAGAAATAAGATGTCACCCTCATGGAGCAAATAAGGAAATGAAATGGTGTGTAGAGCAAAGTAAAAAGTTGAAAACGTATGCTTTTTTCACCCCTTCAGCCATCAGTTCCAGCCTTGCTTCTGCCATCCTTTGCTTGAACATTAAACTCTCTTGAAAACTATGTGAGATTAAGGTGACAACATGAACTATAAAGATTAGAGAGGAACCCTTGAGGCAGTGTGGGAGCAGTGAGAGAACAAGACAGAGCAAGCAAGACGGGGAGAGAGATGAGTGAGCGTGAGAGCCAATGTTTCCCTCTTTATTTTCATCTTTATAGGATATGGTGACTAAATACTATCTTTTCTATTGTAACAAAGTATTTTTCCCTTAAAATAGTTTAGACCAAGGAAGCCAGATACAAGTTGTTTATAGAAAGGCCCAATCATTGCCATCAAGTGGGACCCACCTCATGACCAAACCTCTAGTAGGTTTTTTTTCCAAAGCTGTAAATCCCAGGAGGAGCCCGCCCACCCTACAATTGCATCAACAGCTTCAGGTATTTCTTCCTGATAACCTTTAACTGTACTAACAATTCTTTCTTATCTGAAAGCTTTCAGGCACTATGTGTTGAAGAGTGACTCTTCTATGACCTTCTAGAAAAAGCAACCATGAAGAGAAAACCTACAGCACCAGTGAAGGGCTACTACCCCAAGAGGTCCTGAAGACCTGATGAGTAAGCTTCCTGATTTGCATAGTATCTCCTTTTCTAAAATAACCCCATTTTCCCCTCCTCCAAATGCTAAATAAACATGAGCCTTTCCCCTTGCCTTGTCCCAACCTACAAATACTCTTGCAAACATCCCTTCAGAGAGAGATGTCATTTTTTCACGGCACTAGCCTCCATCTTTTTTTTACTTGCTGAAGGCAAAGATAAAATTTGCTGACACGCACACCTGTTCTAAGGAATTCTTTAAAAGGAGGGAGGCAAAGACCCTTCAAGTCCAACAGGGACTACATCAGCAACAGGACAGCAAGGCCTGGATCCCAGCACACCCATGGGGGCTGGGCTGGCTCGAGGAAGGAGCTGCCCTCCTCCCTGCAGCCTAGGTCTTGATGGCCACTCCACAATATGCAACCCTGGTGCCCCCATCTCTCTCCCACCCCTGGGCCTGTGAGGTGGCCAGGTCCAATTGTCATCTAACTGTGGTCACAGCTGGGCTCTGTCTTAAGTTCTCTGTCTCCCACTGGTTACCTAGCCCTCCTGACATCCCACTGGGCAAAATGGAGAAATTAAACAAAATCATAGCTCCAGAGTTTTAGAAACTCAGAATCTCCAACATAAACATTAAAGCTTCAGTGTTATTATACCTCATCTTGTTTTCTTTCTGTATTTCCCACAAGTAGCAAATTGGCATTCATGAACAAATGACATTTATCTGGGAAAAAAAGTTATGGTAAAATGTTTAGCCATTCTTAAATTTGAAGGGAAAAAATGAAAAGCTTAAAAGAGATGTTTAAATAAAAGTCCATCTCTTGTTTAGGTTACTGCTATGCACCGAAGTCAGAGAACAAGATCTTGATGGTGTCCTAACAGGTAATAGCACATTTCCTTCTCTGCCCTCCTGTGCCTGTGTGCAGGGAGGGACTGCTAATGCTCATGTCTCATCTGAGGAACTTTCAGGTCCACCCTCAAACAGCTGAAGTATTTCCTGTGTGTGGAAGAAGTCCTCATCTTTTCCACTACTGCCATCAATCTTGACTCCAATTTAATGTTTGTCCAAAAAAGGCAAAGAGCAAAGAAAAGTCTGCAGGCTAAAGATCTATAGTTTGAAATGCCTCTGAATGTGAGGCTAGAAATCACTAATTTTAAAAAAACCCAAAACTAAACAGAACAACAAACCAAAACTACTGTTTTCTAGTTCATGCAAAAATATTACTTGATGACATTCACAACAAAGTTAAAAGACCCATCAAACTCCTGAGGACTGAGAAGGGCCTGGGGCCATCTGAACCACCTCTGTCATTTCTTAGAAAAGGAAAGAAAAGGAAGGCACACAACACAGTTCACTGCTCAGGAGAATCACAGGTCCACCAAGAATAGGGTGTTCAAGCATTACCTTCCAACTAAAAAGTTACATCTAGGCATTCCTGCCACTCAGTCTTGACTTTGGGAACAAATCATGCTGATCTGAACTTGCCTGGGCAACTAAAACCACCCATTGACAAGGGCCCCTCGTCTGCCACAGGACTTACAAGCAAACTCAGCCCAAATCTCATTGCACACAGTATCAGGCAACAATAACCCCATTTTCTGGGAAGGGATGGGGCACTGATAATGAACCAAGTCTCCAGATGCTTTGGTTGTGGATAATTTGGTCTTTGCTAGCAAGGCACCCAAGAACCAGAAGTCATCTGGCTGTGGTCTGCCCAGGCTCACATGGACTTTGCATCTCCACTCTTCAGAGGTCTACTCTCTACATATGCCCAACTACTCTGCCCCTTTACTAACCCTTTACAACCACATCCCATTTCTAATAGCAGCAATTGTTAATAAGCAGAGTTAATGGTGATAGTTATTGCTGAAATTGTTTTCTGACCTGAGAATGCAAAATAGGTCCATCCTCTTTAACGCTCCCTTTAAACCTTCTGGGAATGGACACCAGCTACACTGAATTCTATTTTGCACACGGAGGGTCACATTGCATTAGTTTTTCCACTGCTGTGAGTAGTTATGGAACTTTAGGTTTCCGGGTTCTAGTGCCAGGAGGAATTGAGAGGGTGCAAAGTTCAAGTGCCTTCAAAGTAATTCAAATAACAATCAGAAGACCACTCCCTTCTCCTACAGAGCTCTCACCAACCGACACACACTGGGCTCCCAAACATGACTCACTCTTGCTCACTGCAGTAAGTTGGAATGGCCCAGAGCTGACCCTGCAGTGGTTCAGAGGCTGTAAATATCACTGGAGGAGACTGCCTATCTTCCTCCCGCTGAGTAGCTGCTGAGCTACAACAGTCAGATGTGTAACTCTGACTATGCTGTGACAGAAATGCTGGCCAGAGTCCCAGCTAGGATCCCCTCAGCCCCCCTCTGGCCCTCTGTCAGGTCAGTCTTTGGTCACCTGTAGGTTTCTGTGGGTTCTTGTCCATATTCCAGGCTGCCATCTGTCTGCACCATCTCCTGTTTCAGTTCTCCGATCTCCGAGGCAATTGTGTCAATGAGCTATTCAAAGACAAAAATAGTATGACATCAGGAAGTAGAAGAGGCGTGGACACTGCCTGAGGAGCTTTAGTCATGCCAAGAGAAGCCAGAGAGTTGACCACTTTGCTTTTGTATCTGTGAATTTCCTCTAATGATGGGGTGGGGGTAGGGAATGGAGGGTGAGGGGCAGCTTCTCCTTGAAAAGAGGAAGAACTCTAGTTTCAGTATTGTCCTGAGAAAAAGCAAATGACACAGTTTGGCTTCTCACCACAAATACAAAGAATAAACAAATCATGGTAAAATCAGGCTTCAACATTAATTTTGTCAACAGAAACATTAAAAAAACATTCCCAGTTTTTCTCAGTCTTACCCCCACCCCAATGCCAGCCTCATTCTACAACAGTGGCAAACTGGATGAAATATGTTTATGGCATTGAAGTCTATGGGGGAGAGTCTAAAAGTATTATATTTTAGGGCATTATTTTTATCGTAGGAGTATGCAATGAAGGTTGCAGAGTGGATTATATTTGGGGGTAGGGGGTGGGGTTTGGGGAGGTGTGGGGGGGGATTGTGTACCAATGAGGGAGTTTTTCTTTTGCTTTTCAAGGAGAGGAGCAAATGGGGGGGAGGGGGGAGGAGTTTGTGCGGGGAGAAGGGTGCAACAATGAATGAATGGAATCCCAAAATCTCTGTAGATGTTCACTGAAATGAAAAATAAACAACCTAAATTAAAAAACAAAACAAAACAAAACAAAAAACATTCCCAGACTAAAATATATTATTCTACCCATGGTGGACAGTGTTTGGTGGAGCTTCCCAATTAAAACAAGCTTGGAAGCAGAAGTGGCATCCAATTCCATAACACCTTGCCTCTGGAAACCCTATGGGTCACTATGAGTTGCCTACGACCCGACAGCATTTAACAATAACAACAACAACAACAACAACAACAACAACAACAACAGAAACATACTTAAATATAGGTATAGCTTAAAAACTTTTTAAAAAGATATTAAAATTACTTCTTACCTTACTCATATGTCAAATTCATTGCTGTGGACCCATATCAACCCTCAGCCTGGTCTTTAAAGGTTATAAATTGCATGGAATGAGACTGTCCACCTTTCTATACTGAGCTGCTGGTGGACTTGAACCTCCAGCGAAAGGCCATTAGGCCGGCAGTGCAGCTCCCCACAAGCTTCACCACCAGAACTCCCTCTTCACCCCTTATACTCTGATTTTTCAAAAGTGAGAGGCTAAGGGAAAGGAGAGAGGGAGGGGTGGGGCAAGGAGTGGGTGGGGCAGTCAGCCCAGAGCAGCCTCCTGCTCAGGTTGGAGACCTGCGATCACCAGGCCCCAGGAAGAAAGGCCCTGGGCTACCATCTGGAACACCAGCCACTGAGAACTCTCAGAGGAAGATCAGCTACGGAGTTTAAGGAGTCAGAATCCACTTGAAAGCGAACACCACTACCACAGTATACTAGAAAATGGGGGTCCTTGGGTAGAAGAGGGGGTTAGTGTGCCTGGCTTATAAGTGAAGGGTCAGAAGTCTGAATCTACTACCTAGAGGGACCTCAAAAGAAAAGCTTGTGACTGACTTTAGAAAACAGAAGGAATATGGGGCATAAACATAATTGCTGTTGTTGCTAGCACCATCAAGTAGGCTGGGACCCATAGTGACCCTATGTTCAGCAGCTCTGAACACTGCCCTGTCCTGAGCCAGTCTCACTAGCTCTGACACACCAACCCCCATTTGCCTCAGGTACTGTATCAATCCATCTCATCCACGGTCTTCCTCTCCTATGCTGTCCCTCCACCCTTCGAGAATGCTGTCCTTCTGTAAGGACACTTGGTTTGTAGAAGGCTGAGGTCTGTATTTGGTTTCTTAATTTAGGGTTAAATGCCATTTTGTTTTTGGTTTTAGGGTTTTAAATTTTTTTTCTTGGTTTGCATATCATTCATATACGCTGCACTTAGTACATACACTTTGTATCATACAATCATTCCTATACATTCTATTTTATATACTTAATTACTATTGCTCTGTGTCTATCATCATCAACCTATCTATTATAGTCCATTTTATATAGTTAATTACCACTGAGCTATGTCTATCACCACCCTATCTTTTACATTTTATTTTATATAATTAATCACCATTGCTCTATGCCTATCATCATCACCCTTTCTTTTCAAGTCCCTATTGAACCTTTCCCCACTCATTTGAGTTTCTTTCTGGCTGGCCTTGGGGCTTTGTCCTCAGGAAAGTGAAGCCGCAATCACAACTGGGAGATTACTTTGTTGTTGGTGTTAGGTGCCATTGAATCAACTATGACTCATGGCTACCCTAGGATGTGAAAACAGATTTGAACCCTGTCCTGTCCTGCACCATCCTCATTACCCTTGACCTACCTGAGCCCACTGCTGCTGTCACTGTGCCAATTAGCTTAAGATGGGGCAATTACTTAAGGAGGCATGTCCTTAAAAAGAAAAGTCATAGACAACTACATAATCAGGCAGGAGCAAAGGGAAACCCAGGGTCAATCTTCTTGTTGTTATAGCAGCCTGTGACCCAGAGTGACCTTATGTACAGCAGCTCTGAACCCTGTTCTGTCATGAACCAGTCTCACTGATTCCAACACACCAACCCCAATTGCCCCAGGTGTTGCTCTATCAATCCATTTCATGCAAGGTCTTCCTCTCATGCACTATCCCTCCACCTTTCCGAGCATGATGTCCTTCCTTCTCCAAGGATCAGTCTCTCCTGGGCACTTGCCCAAAGTATGTGAGACAGAGCTTCAAAATCCTACAAGGACTTCTTCTACTCCCAGAAAACACCAAATGACTGGCGATGCTGGTGCAGCAGGAGGCCCCGGAGGCCCCGGGATGGGAGCCAGCGGCGGTTTCCATGGAGGCTTCGGTAGAAGTCTGTGAGGTCTGGGCAGAGGCCATTGGAGCTTGATGATGCAAAGCTGAGGAAAAGCAGTGGCTCCACTTCACCAAACTGGACCGTCTGGTCAAACACATGAAGATCAAATCCTTGGAGGAGATTTATTTCTTCTCACTGCCCATCAAGGAGTCTGAGATTATTGACTTTTTCCTGGGCATGTCCCTCAAGGATGAGGTATTGAAAATCATGCCGGTGCAGATGCAGACATGTGTTGGCCAGTGGACCAGATTCAAAGCCTTTGTCGCCATTGGAGACTATGACGGCCATGTTGGCTTGGGCGTCAAGTGCTCCAAAGACGTGGCTATTGCCATCCATGGGGCCATTATCCTGACCAAGCTCTCCATTGTCCCTGCGCAGTGTGGCTACTGGGGGAACAAAATTGGCAAGCCTCACACTGTTCCCTGCAAGGTGGCTGGGTGCTGTGGCTCTGTGTTGGTGTGTCTGATCCCTGCACTCCAAGGCACTGGGATCGTCTCGGCCCCTGTGCCCAAGAAGCTGCTGCAGATGGCTGGAGTTGATGACTTCTACACCTCAGGCAGAGGCTGCACAGCTACCCTGGGCAACTTCGCCAAAGCCACCTTTGATGCCATCTCCAAGAACTACAGCTACTTGACCCCAGATCTCTGGAAAGAGTCTGAGTTCATCAAGTCTCCCTACCAGGAATTCATGGACCATCTTGTAAAGACTCACACCAGAGTCTCCATGCAGAGGACTCAGGCTCCAGCTGTGGCCACCACATAGTGAATTTTTGATAACAAATAAAGTGAATTAAGTAAAAAAAAAAATCCTACAAGGAAAAACTTGGATTCATCCTCACCAAGACAGACCTATTTGTTTTCTTAGAGGTCCATGGTATGTTCAAGACTATTCTTCAGCACCACAATTCAAAAACATCTATTCTTCTTCTGTCATCCTTATTCATTGCCCAACTCTTGGAAGCATAAAAAGTAAACTCAAAGACCATGGCCTGGATTAGGGGCACCTTAGTATCTAGACTGACACTGTTGGTTTTCAGCACTCTGGAGAGGTCCCTGACAGCAGATTTTCCCAACGCAATTTGTCTTTTGATTTCCTGACTGCTGATGTTAAGAGTCTTGATTGTGAAGCCGAGCAAGCTGTAATTGCTAACAACCTCAATCTCTTCTCCATCTATCATGGTGCTGCCAATTGGCTCAGTAGTGAGAATCTTCTTGATGTTAAGCTTCAATTTATATTGCAGACTACATTCCTTGACCTTCTGCAGTAAGTGTTTCATTTCAGCAAGCAAGGTTGTGTTATCTGCGTAACATAGGTTCTTGATGAGTCTACCTCCAATCCTGATGCCACATTCCTCCCTCATAAAGCCCTGCTTCCAGAATCACCTGTTATGTATACAGATTGAAAAGGTAAGGAGACAGACAGGATGCATCCCTGATGCACTCCTTTCATGATTTTGAACCATGCAGTGTTTCCCTGCTCTATTCTGAGGACTGCTTCCTGGTCCACATATAGGTTCCACATAAGCACAATCAAGTATTATGGGATTCCCATTTTTTCTCAAGGTTAACCACAGTTTGTTGTGATCCACACTGTCAAATGCCTTTGTGTTTAATTTGAAATTGTGTATCGCATTAACCTAACCTGCAATGGTGCTCAGAATCTTACAGTAAGTATAAGCATTGCTTAGTACAAGCCTTGATTATGGATCCACAGAGTACTGTTGGCACCATGGTGATGAGTTTCCCCATTTCCAGAATGGTTTACCTGTACGTCTTTGTTCTGCTTATTTATTAGCAAAAGAATCTCTTTAGAATAAGTTCAAATTCTGAGGTATCTTGTTTGCCATGGAACAGTTCTACTTTGACATGTATGGGGTTGTTGTGAGGTGGCATCAGGTTGATGGCAACTGTTCTGGCCTTACCCAACCTGTCTGTCACCCAGAAGCTGGCACATGCTCCAGTTGGCCCATTCTTGGGCCTAGGAGTATAGGGCAGTAGTGTTCAAAAGAGTCTTCCTGAACATTAATGTTCTTAAAACATTCTTAATTTTTATGGGTTAATATACAACAAATTTACCATCGCTTTGTTCTTGTTATGTGCCATTGAGTCACCTGCAACTCACAGTGACCCTATGTACAGAAGCTGTAAACTCTTGCCCTGTTCTGAGCCAATCTCACTGACTCCAGCACACAAAAACCCATTGCCTAGTGACTGTATCAGTTCATCTCATCAGGAGTCTTCCTCTCCTACGCTATCCCTCTAACCTTCTGAACATGATGTCCTTCTCCAAGGACAGGTCCCTCCTGGCCATGTGCCCAAAGTATGTGAGATGGAGCTTCAAAATTCTAGCCTGCAAGGAAACACTTGGTTTCATCTCCTCTCCAAGACAGACCTGTCTATTTTCTTGTCTGTCCATGGTAAGTTCAATACTGTTCTCCAGCACCACAATTCAAAGGCATCAATTCTTCTTTTGTCATCCTTGGTCATCATCCCGCTCTCTGATACATGGCAAGTTAATTGTGAAAACCATGGCCTGGATCAGGTGCACCTTAGTCTCTAGACTGACGCTGTTGCTCTATAACAAATTAATAAATATTTCTAAAATGTCTTTGTAGGACAAAAGATTGACTGGCAAAATGGCTTTCCTGGGCCACTGATCTGACTTTTGTTACACGGCATGCAAATAGGCTATATACATTTATTTATGAGATTAGCTAGTTTTACCATGCCAAGCTTAAAATGAATAGGTCTGGAGGCAAAAGGTGGGATCTCGACACCAGCAAGAAAAGAGAATGCAGTGCTTGTCCCTTGGGGCAGAGGTTCCTGTTCCCATCAGATGTGACCTTAGACAGGAGCAACAGCAGTAAAAAACCAGAAGTCGCTGTGAGACTGAGCTGACCTGGACTACTTCCCCATGGAGTGGGAGCCAGGGGCCTTTTCTGAGGACTAAGGGGTAGGGAAGAAATGTCATAATGCTGAAGGTCAAAGGGCCTACAAGTGCACAAGAGAAGGTGCTCTGACTGAAGAACCTGAATTGTAACCTGTTAACTTCACCATATACCCCATAATCATGTGTATGGATCTGTGAGTTCTGTATGGCCATTGCAATGGATTGTTGGACCCAGTGGGAGTCCTGGGAGGGTATTCTACCTGGCAGAAGTAGGCTGGGGGAGTGTGTGGGGCATGGACATTGTGGATGGGGGACTGCTCCTCCTTGCAGAGTTAGTGGAGGTCAAATGCTGCTGCCCCCAGGCTGCTGCACTCTTTTTACAGTATTCATTTTATTTAGAATATATTAAATATTGACAGCTATAACTCACTTGAGCACACTGAGGTAGTTAATGATTTTAAAAGACTGTTTAAGGATTTTGAGGTCAAAGAGTTTGAGAATAGCTCTTTTGCCTCAAGAACATTTTTGCCTCATCTCAACATTCTATCCCACCCAGACTCTGGGAGAGAGGCTTCATTTGAGTGTGCAGACTACTCTAAAATTCTGACCCCACGTATTCATTTGTTCATGACGTTCTAATGGCTTAGCGGCAAGGAACTGTGCTGCCAACCCAAAGGTGCATGGTTCAAATCCACCAGTTGCTCCACTGACAATCTTTTCCCATGCAATCTGAAGGAGTTTGCACAGTTTCTGAAAACTCACTGACAAGCCAGCTATGAGTTGGTTCCAACTCAACAGTATATACAACAACAAATTGATTTGTTCAGGGGCTGTACTAGTGTAGTTGGTTCAGTACTAGAAGGCTAGCTGAAAGAGTCACCAGATAAAGCTGCTCTGAAAGAGAAGGATGAGACTGTGTCTTCCGTTAAGATTGACAACCTTGGAAACCCAGTGGAGGATTAACCTTTGGGGTTTTTCCCTGATGCCAGGCACTGCAAGAGTAAATTCAGTAAACTCTCAGTTCTCACAAGGACGACATTCCAGCGGGATGGACAGACCACACGCTTCAATCACTAAGAACTTCCAATCTGATCACAGAAGGCTGTTGGTGACTAGTGGGAGGCAGAAGTGCCTAGAGTCTAGACCTGTCCACACAGAATCCTCTGGTGGTGGATCAAGGCATCCTTCCATTGTTTACTGGACAACTGAGTCTGAACTGCCAACTTTCCAGTCAGCATCTAAACACTTAACCACCAGGACTCCTGGAAATTCGAGTATGTCAGTGAAGGTTACAGAGAATAACTAAGGATCCACTCTAGGATCATCTGGTCAAGAAAGACATCTGAGGAAGTGACTGAGTCCAGAGTGAGAAGATCCCAGCCATGACAAGATGTGGGGAAGAAGCCTCCACTGCCAAGTCAAAAAGTCTGATAATGCCAAATATTCAACAATGTGAGAAAACAGGAATCCCCCTATGTTCCTAGAGAAATATTCTTCATGGAGTCACTCTGAACAGAAATGTGGCAATCTTTTACAGAGCTGAAGATACATAAACCTAAAGAATTGCCTTCATACTCATGTGTTCTGGAGAACTCTGAACATGGATGCCAGGAAACAAGAATATCTGCAACACTATTAAAATAGGTAAGAGTAACAAACTATAAGTCATCAGAGAATAGCTAAGTCTAGAATGCCACAGCTAAAAGGACTGAATCAGAGATACATCTATCAATATAATATAAATGTAACAGCTCAAAAATGTAACATTTGCCTCCCCACACACACATCCTAAAAATATTGAAAAATGTTCCATTCAACAGATCAAGTTCAAAACCACACAAATCTGTTCTACATATTGTTTCTGGAGACATATGTAGATAACAGACACTATCCCAACATACATGGGAATTAGAATTCTACTTTAAAAGAGTAGTTACCTCTGGAGAAGTGAAATGGATGCACATGTTCACAGTGTGAACAAACCTGTGATCTTTTCCTCTGAAACACAGTGGTGACATACTAAGGCGGGACCCGCTTTTATGGGTGTTTCAGGATTTAGTACCTCACTGCTGCTAAGCTGGTTCTGACCACAGATCACAGGAGCGCTGCCTGGGTGTCCAGGACTGCACTGAAACAAATGAGGGAGAGAACAGTTTAAAAGCGATATATGATTGGTTATTATGGCTATGACGGGAGTCCAGAGTGAAGGTTGCATAATGGAGTGTACTGGTGGGTGGGGGAGGATTGTATACTAATGAAGGAATTTTACTTTTCACAGAGAGGAGCAAACTGGGGTGGAGGGTGGAGCTGAGAGGGGTGGGGAGGGAGAAAAATGCAACAATGATGAATGGAAATCCAAAATTTCTGTAAATGTTCATTAAAATTAATGAAAAAAATACAAATGCAAGGGCACACCTATCTCTCTCCTGAGGAGCAGCTGCTGGACTGGAACTGTCAGACTTGTGGCCTTTGAATTAAGAGGGCAGCTCACTATGGACTAAGCCACAGAGTTGGTGGCTCTGTGTGATGCGTCCATTTTTTTAAGGAGCTGTGCTGTATGTGGTGGGCTGCCGCCTGAAAGGCTGGAGACTCCAATTCATAGCTTCTCCTCAGAAGAGAGAGGAGGCTGAGATGTACAGCCTCAGAAGCCTGATGGTGAGTCATCTTTACATGCAAGAGTTCGGCATCAAAATTTGAAGGAAATTTTAAAAAAATGAAACAGGGAGTGATAGTCAAGATGGATTCAGAAATGCAGGTGCTTTTCAGGAGGCCCCACAATTCTGAGTTTTTTTCCCCACACTGTCCCACTTGGAAAG